CATTTCGTGTTAACACACTTTGAAGGACTTGCTGCTCGTCCATAGACAAACCGGTTCCAAAGTAAGTGACCTGTTCAAAATTTTTGCCTAGTTGAAAAAGCTTCTTGTCTTCATTGGGTTCACCTCGAAGCCCCTCATCTACTTTTCGATCAAGCTCTATATCCAACTCTTCCCCTGACCGAGAGGATCCGATATTAACATCTCGTCTATGCCAATGGAAGGGTTTTACACGTAAACTTGCAAAGTAGCATTCTCTGGTCGTCTTTTAGTCCGCATGAATGGTAATGATTCGGCTTTTCTCTGATGGAAATTTCATAGCCAAGTGAGTAGTGGACACTATGGTCTTCAATTTATTAAGGGATTGCCTGCCGAGTAGTATATTATATGAAGTATGTACCACTAGGTAAGTTACCTTGATACATTTTCCTTCGTGTTCTGAATCGAATAAGGTGTATAGATCGATACAGCCATGGGTCTCCACTCGTTCCCTAGAGAAACCTACAAGTGGTTTGTGATACTCCTTCAATTCTTCTTCTAGCATCCCAAGTTGCTTGAAAGTATTCTAATACAGGATGTTGGCCGAGCTCCGTTGATCAATTAGAGTCTTATGGACTGTACAATTAAGAATGTCAACACTTATGACCATGGGGTCGTCCTGAACTAGATTAACTCCTTGGAAATCTTTGTCAGTAAATGTAAAAAGAGAGATTCGGATTCCACTTTCCAACGATATGTGATTGACCAAGCGGACATGTCTCAAATGTCTTTTCCTAGTCGAATTGATAGATCCTCCACCAGTAAATCCACCTACAATAGTGTTAATAACTCAGCGATGGTACTTCTCATGTTCATCGCGATGCCTAACAGGGAGTTCTCTTGACCTGCTACGTTGTCATGTCATTCTTTTATCATTGTATCTTTTTGATAGCTCGGGGTGATGGTCCCTGCTCCTATTAGCAAGACCAGAAGGGTTTGTTTGTACAAACTCTTTTAAGTGTTCGGCTTTAATCATGTCTTCAATGAGGTCCTTAAGGACTGCATTCTTCGATGATATGTCCTCTTATCGACATGATTTTGACTTGTCTGCTTGAGGGAGAGTATTTGCACTTGGTTGCCAATGCCTGCTCGAGTACTCTAGACTGGTTAGTATTTAAAGTAGTATAAGTGGAATACTTCGGTCCTCTTGGTGGTCGCTCGACCTCTCCTCTTCGGTCCTTGTTTTCTATCCTAGTTTTAAAAGATTCTCTCCTGTCACCCTCTCTTTGGTTGAATCCCTACTCCATCCGAACTTGACTTTGGTATTCGGTTAATTCTTCCATCTGCATATACGTCGCAGTCCGACTTCCTAATTCGTTCATATCAACAGGTAGTGTTTTACATATGCTGTTGACAAAAGGTCTCGGTCTCACGGCTGTTGTGAGGTGGTGTATTGCAACTGCCAGCTCCAAATTGTGGATTGAGAGGACCACTTTGCTGAAACGCTCCATGAATGTTCTAAGTGTCTCTTTCTTTTCCTGCTGGATGTTAACTAACGCCAAAGACGTCAAAGGATGGGGACGACTTGTGACGCATTGTAGACTGAAGTGTTTGGTAAGCGTTGCAAACGAATCAATGGATGAAGGGGTAGCTTGGTAAACTAGTTAAGGGCTGGACCTCAAAGTGAAGTGGGAAATATTCTACATAATAGAGCGTCATTCTCTGTATACAGGCCAACTTGAGTTGTAAAGATATCCAAATGTTCCTTAGGATTGGATGTCCCATCATACTTCTCCAGTGTTAAGCCTCTCCAGTTCTCAGGTAATTTAGCTTCCAGAATAGGCTGAACGAAAAGGCTTTGGTTTGAAGTACCATCTTGTTTAACAGGGGTCTTAGTTTACTGATATGTGTTTGGCCTTTCCTGTAGAGCCGAGGATTCTCCCTGCTCTTGAATAGGCAAGTTAGTTTGAGAGGGTATGCAAGTTATGATTTCTTCCCTCAAGTTAGCATTCTCTTTCCTTAAGGTCGACAACTCAGGAGCATCATTCTCTCTCATCCTTTGCATCTCCATCATTTCAATCTTAAGTTGTCTTACCACTGAAAAAATGCTTTCATATCCTCCCCCTTGGCTAGAACTTCAGGGATTAGGTGTGACGTCCTCCTGATGAGAGGCTCCTCCTTGCTGTTTTTGTCCTTCCGGCTGGCTCATAGTAAGTACCATGATGACTCGTGAAAATTGAGGCAAATTGTTCCCCACGGTGGCGCCAAAATATTCCTGCTACGGATATACTGATCTTCTTGATACTCCTCTACTGTGAGATAAGATGACGTCCTTACCAGTACTACTGGTTTTTCTCTATTTGACGTAGAGGGAGTGTACCTGCAAAATGTACTCTGATGATAAAGTCAGGTGTCGGTTTAGGTAATAAATGCTATTAAATATTTGAAAGTCAACCCTTTAACTATATCTCTTATTTTCATTTTATAAGCACTATTATGGGCTAATAGACTTTATAAATTGGCCTTGATTTTGGTTCTCTAATTAAGTAAATAATTATCTGATTATTTTTCTTAATTAGTTTAATTATTTTTTAATCTGACTGAGAGAGTTCTCATCCTATTGATGCTAAAGGGTTATTTAGATTCTTTTTTTTTATTGACACCGAATGATGTCCTATCCAATACACAAGATAAAGTGAAGTGAATCTAAAATGTGTTTCAAATCTTATTTGATAATTTACAAGTTGAACGTTAATATTACTGTCTTGGTTAAAACATTATGCTGTAACATTTAAAAGATTAAGTACTTTTCTAAATTAAAATAGAGGTTAATGAAAGTGGATTTAGTTAATAAAGATTGAATTTATATTTTTAAGAACACCGAGTTCAAATTTTAATATTTGATGTAGAAATTTTGTTGGCATATTATTAAATTTATAAGCACTCTTTGAGTGGTAAGATATGTCTTGACTCTAATAATTTCTCAATTCATTTAAACTTTACAATTAAACAAATATGTTAAACTAAAAAAAATAATCTAAAATTGCAACATTAAAAATTAATTTAGTTTTAATATAAATCAAGTTAATAATTTTAACCCTAAAAAGTGTCAGGCTTCAGGTACAACATTGCAATGCATGTCAAATTAGCAAGTATTAATTATATATAGAATTAAAAGATATAATAGATATTACTTACACATGTCAAATTAACGGGAAAACAGAAAAAATATAAAGAATTATTTTCACAATTTATATATAAATATATGTATTATTATAGTCACTATTATTTTGCAAATGCCTAACGAAACAAGTTGAAGAGTGAGGGCGTCTTCCAAATAACTGACTTCTTCCAGTGAGTCCTGACCAAATGGTCCACCGCGAAAAACAGCTCATTCATGACCCTCAATAATTTCATTGACAAACTTTGATTGATGAATATTTTAATAGTATTAATATATGTTTTTACTATTTTTATATTTTATATGATATTACATCATTTATTAGTTTATTATTTTTATGTTTTGTTTTCAAGATATAGAAAACGAAACGGATGTTTAGAAATGAATGTCGTGCGAGAAAAAATATCATTTTTTCAAAGTAATAAATATTAAATATACTTGTGTAAACTTGTTCACTGTAACATAGGTTAAGATTGTAGAAAGCTTTAAATGTTTGAACTTCACTAAAATTTGTATAGGATAAAAACTTTATTTAATTATCTATTTTTTTTAAAAATTAAAAATTATATATTAATTAAGATTAAAATCTGTCATGTGCTGAACACATGGCATTATTGAGTTTAAATTTTATTAGTAAACACACTCAATTTCTATATCTTTTAAAATCCGCATAATAATTACTATCATGGCTATTACCACTATCTTTGTAATTGCTGTCATCAATCAACTACTAAATTAACTTTGATTTTTATTAATCAATGTTAAGAATCAAAAGTTTGAAGGAATAAATAATTTTTTTTTAAATTTAAAAGTTATATAATATTTGTAAAATCAAATAAAAAATTATTAAGTTTATATTAATTTATTTTTTCATAACTTCAATTTTAAAAATTATAAAATGTTATTTAAAAATATAAATTATCTTCTCCTATTTGTTCTAAAATCAACCTCGTAAATATATCCTAAAAGCTTATTTAATTAAAGCTAAGTAAGGATTAAAGTGATTAAAAAAATTATTTTTAGGTTATTCATACCGGCGAGCTATAAGATCTGAGATTCTTTCTTATTTGATCAATTTTCAAAATTTATTTTCACTCTATTTAGAATATCTTAATGTAAAGTGGATTTTTAAATAAGCTTGTAGACCAAACCTTTAAAATTTAACTTAAATTAAATAAATAGATTAAACCTATACGTTAAATAAAAAGTTAAAAAACCTATATATTAAAAATTAAGTTTAGATTTTAAAAAAAGTTATTAAAACTAAAATATAGAAAGAATTACTCTAAATACAAGTGTTTCTTTTGCTATCTTAATTTTCCTAAAATACTATTTCCATAAAATTAATTATTTATCTTTCAAAATATGAAATGAACTCATCCAAACATACTTTTGGCATTACTAAACTTTCATGATTTGAAAATATTATATACTCAAATATGAAATTTTTAAAAAATTAAACAAATATAAATTATTAGTAATTTTTTTATAAATTTAATTAATTTAAAAAATCATCATTATAATAACAACTTTTAAGATTTCATATTCTTATAATTTTTTCTTAAGATTTCATATTTTAGTATATATCATTTGCAAATACGAGATTAAAGTTGTCATCCCCAGGCAGTATTATTGATTTAGTCAATTATTGACCAGAAGAGTACGTTGCGAAGGGGACCCAGTTTGGGATCCACCCATTTCACGTGATAGTTCATTTGCAATGGCTGTAGCCACGAAAAATATTATTTTAGTTAAAACTAAAGAAAACGATTTATTTTTCTTGTAGCAACAAAAATTCTCAGCTATATATATGGGTTGTGGTATGAACGTGGATCAAAAGCATAGAAAGACAGAAGCAAAAGAGTGAGAGAGTGAGAGAGTGAGGGAGATAGAAAGAAACAAGAATGGAAGTAGCACAGGTGTTGCATATGAATGGTGGCATTGGAGAAGCAAGCTATGCCAACAACTCCTTAGTTCAGGTATAATTACAACTTTGACCAGTGCCGTCTACCTCGCTACTTTTTTTTTCCTTTTTAAAATATTAATTAAAATTTACTAAAAGTTAACAGATATTTCATTACCTAATTCATTAAGTGATAAAACTTAGTTAAAAGTTGACACGATAATGCCACGTGGAAATGAACTAAAATCAGTGCATAATGATTCTATTTATGGGTCATTGGTTATACAGCAAAAGGTGCTTCTTTTGGCAAAGCCCATTAGAGAGGAAGCAATAACCAGCCTCTACTACAACACACTTCCAAGAAGCTTAGGAATTGCAGACTTGGGTTGTTCTTCAGGACCCAACACCCTGTTTGTTGTGTCTGAAATAATAAAGACTGTGGAGAAGCTTTGCCGTCAACTTAACCAAAAATCTCCCGAATACAAAGTCTTTCTTAATGATCTTCCCGGGAATGACTTCAATAACATCTTCAAGTCCCTTGACAGCTTCAAAGATAAACTATGTCGTGAAATGGAAACTGCCATTGGTCCATGCTACTTCTCTGGAGTTCCTGCTTCTTTCTATGGCAGGGCTTTTCCTAATAGAAGTCTGCATTTTGTGCATTCCTCTTACAGCCTCCAGTGGCTATCTAAGGTAAATATATTCAAATTTCATTATTTCAACAATTAAAAATTAATCATATATATATATTTATATTTAAGAATACACCAAAAACTAAATAGACAACTAAAGTTGTTTCTCAATCATAAAACAAAAAAATCATTTCCATTATATTAATAAAAAATTTAAAAATATGTATGAAACATTTTTCGTTTCTCTTCAAATAACTTTTTTTTTTCCATTTATATACTTAAAAAGTGGCGACATCATTTTGTAAAACAGGGTCAGCAGTAATTTTGTATCAGACGATATTATGCTTTATTAATATGGACATATAGATTAATGAAAATAAATAAATGTTGTTTATTGTGATCAATAGGTTCCGGAGGGTGTAGAGAACAACAGGGGGAACATTTACATCGGCAGAACAAGCCCTCCAAATGTTCTAAAAGCATACTACGAACAATTTCAAAGAGATTTCTCTCTTTTTCTCAAGTGCCGTGCAGAGGAGCTAGTTGAAGGTGGTAGCATGGTTCTCACATTTTTGGGAAGAAGAAGCGATGATCCATGCAGTAAGGATGGTTGCTACATTTGGGAGCTTATGGCTACTGCTCTTAATGATATGGTCTTCGAGGTAGACATCCCAAATAATTTGTGTTATAGACTTATAGTTCTATATGGATCCAAATTCCCAGAACATGAAAAAATAACTCAACCATCACGCAATTTTGAACTTAATTAATTACATTTTTTTTAAAAGAGATATCAAGAACACGTAATATACTTTAATGTATTGAATTTTTTTGAAAAAGTTTATTATATATAAATTTTTATTTTGTATTCTTGAATATACGTTAATAAACTAATCCTGTTTGACTATAATAAACAAAATATTAGGAGAAATAAAGTAGGAAACATGGGGGATCACTGCTTTTCATTTTATCTTTTTTTTGAGTGAATTAGAAAGAAAAAACACAAAAGAATGATCCCAGAAAAGGAAATTAACAAGTACGGGCTCATTGATGGAGGGAAAGCATCACAATGGTTTCATCACCTCACTACTTGTTAATTTGTTCGTGCAATGATAGCCTACCCAACAAAACACCCGATGATTGAGGAATAACATCTTGAAATTCTCATAGCAACTGGCCAATGTCGGCAATAATATTCGCAAATTTATTAGAAAGAAAATATCTGAAACAAGGGTACGTGCATGGTGGACCACTGCTTTTCAGGTTGCTTACGTTTCAGGAGCAGAAACCATAAACTAAAGTACAACATTTAGCTGTAATATTTTATTTTATTTTTCACTGCTACTTCGCTTATGAAAATTATAATTTTATCTTAATAATTAGTATAATAGAAATCGATATTAATGATGGATACTCTTTTATAAGATAAAATTTTAAATTTAATTAAATAATAACATGAAATATATGTATAATACTGTCCTTAATTTTATATAAAAATAATAATACTCATTCGTCATTTTTTAAAATCCTGACCAACTATTAGCCATTAATTTGATCTGATAAAGTCAGATATATATTATTATTTAACATTAAATATTAAATTTTTTTATATATTTTATAAATAATTTTTGTAAAAAACTTTAGTGATTTTTATGATAAAACAATTTCCAAATTTTATAAAATAATTGTTATTTTATATTTACTCCTTAGTTTGTATTCAATTTTGTTGTATAAATTTAATTTTTAGGTCAGTGACAATTATAAATTGCAAGTAGCGATTAGTCTTGACTCATTTCTACTTAAGGATATTTAGTGATTTTTGAGCTTAAACAAAATAAAAAGAATTGTGCAATTTAATTAAAGATAGCTTATAAAATAGATTAGAAGAATTTTTTATTTTTACCCTTTAAATGTCAGTGATTTAACCTTTTGTAACCTCACAGAATTGTGTCTTTCGATTTATCCCCAGGAAAATCTCATTTAATATTTAATATTCTTTATTTTTTCTCTCATTGATTTTTGAAACATAAATAAATTTGGAAGATTATATTATAACCTCTTTACTGTTTGATGACAGAATACACAGAAAAGAAATGTACTACATGTATAAACTTTTTACTTGATCAAATTGGCAAGATATGTATGAATATTTTTACTATATGCTGCAGGGAATCATAAAGGAAGAGCAAATTGATACATTTAACATCCCTCAATACACTCCATCTCCAACCGAAGTGAAATCGGAGGTTCTTAAAGAAGGATCATTCACTCTGAATCGTCTAGAGGTGTCTGAAGTGAATTGGAACGCTTTTGATGACTGCTGGAACGCTCAAGAATATGAATCTAAAAAGTCTGAATCACTTAGTGATGGTGGGTACAATGTGGCACAGTGCATGAGGGCTGTGGCTGAACCTTTACTAATTAGCCATTTTGGTGAAGCTATCATTGAAGAGGTTTTCAGTCGCTACCAACAAATCTTGGCTGATCGTATGTCCAAGGAAAAAACTGAGTTCATCAATGTTACCATATTATTGACTAGAAAAGCATGAGCAGTTAAGAACTTTGCATCTTTGGCTTCTGAAGGGATTATCGTGTAGTCGTTGTTGCTTTTTGTTTATTTTTCTTGCAATCAAGTGGTAAAACGTTGTTGCTGTATGTTCTCGATTTTCGAATGTGTAATAAAATTAGTTATGTGGGGATTGTGGTAAATGGTATATTATATTCCATATTAAGTTGTTCACCTGGTTAAAATTTTGATCCCTCTTGAATTTGATGATAATTAGTTTTTGATTGACCAGATATATCTGATTGAAAATTTCAAACTTCATAAAGTTATTTTTTTATTGCTCCCCCCCCCCCCCACAAATATTTATCCACTTAATAATTAAATTACGTAACGCGATTGTTATGTATATTGAATTTTAAATGCTTTCGACATTAATAGAAATGTAATCAAATAATAAATATTTATTTATATTTTAAATGGTATAATGTTCGTTAAAAACAAAATAATAAGAATTAATTTTTAATTTAACAATTGAATTAATAAAATGTATTTTTAATTAAAAAATATTATTAATTTGTCATTTTACCGACTTTTATTCCTAATGTCAATTGATTCTATCAAGTGTATGTGCATATAACAATCCACTGAAAAATTACTGGACATTTTATGATAGAAGTAATTATTTTTACTATACAATTATGAAAATTACTAAGTTTATAAGGGTCTTAAATTTTATGATTCTAACACGTATGAAAGAGACTTACCTAGATCTATGTTCGTAAGTTTTTTTGTCAGTTTCTGAGCTTTTTTCACTTTTTTATTCTTCTGATGGGGCAGAAAAATATACGAATGTGTGATTTGATTTCCTGTCCATATCTTTTATGGAACAAACTTTTGAGTTTCTAAAGAAGAAGGGTGGAATTTCAAATTTAAAAAGGCTTAGACGCGGCACTACGTTGTCCGGAGGGTAACAATACTTTCGTCTCAAATGAAGAAAAAAAATTCAGATGTATACACTTAGATTCTATAGTTTCATTTTAAATTGAGATGAATTTAACGACGTGTTAATTTTTTACAATTTTGTCTCTGTTTTATATAAAATTAATAATACATATATTTTTTAAATAAAATAATTAAATAAAAAATAAAAAAATAATTTTATTTAATTTAAATATAAAATATCTGTTTAGATTATAAAAATTTACTTCAAACAAAAAATAAGTTTATTTTTAATCTTATTTTAGTAATTACATTTTAAAAAACATTATTTAAATCATTAAGCGGCATCGTTCTACCACAAGACCGTTCTTCCATATACGACACAACTTCCGTAAATTTGATCTCGCCCCGAAATGATTCGGGCGAACCACCGATCTAGTCAAAATCTCTTTCTTACCTTTGAGATAAATCTTCAATACATATACACGTAGAACAAGTTTAACAAGTTAGTTAACTAACAAACTAAATAGTTTCTAACATTTATTGATAATGAAAAATAAATATTAACTAAATTAACTAATTTTTAATTTTATAAAACTTCCCCTTAAGTTGGAACAAAAATATAATGATACTAAGCTTGAAAATTAAAATCTAGAGTGCTTTTATAGCAATTAGTTTAGTAAGAAAATCTATACATTGATGTGTTGATCTAATTGGTACTAAGTGAATAGATCTACCATTTACTTTCTCACAAATGAAGTGACAATTAATTCAATGTGTTTAAAAGTAGCAATTCATACACATGCCTCTTTCTATTATTTTATATCCTTCAATAATACATGACATTGCCAATTGCCTCAAAATGCTCTCTAAAGCCACCTTTCATGTCATTATTTTCTTTATCATTTTAACATAAACTATGCATTGAAAATGGGTTTACAAGACCAAGAGACATGCAAATGATAGCATAAAAAGATATAAAGTGAAGTTAGTCACTAAAGGTTATACTTAATTAGAGGATATTGATACTTTGACACTTATTCTTCCGTGGCTAAGTTGACTATAGTAAGAGTTAGAAGAACTCTGGCTATCAAAAAGGGTTGATTCCTACATCAATTAGATATCGATAATGTCTTTTTTTTTGTAAGGATCTCTATGTAAAGTGTACATGTCTCTTCCACCAGGCCTATACTGTGATGACCCCTCCAAGATTAGCAAAATGTATAAGTCGTTATATAACTTAAAGCAAGTAAATCCAAAGTGGTGATCAAAGTTGTTAGTTGTCCTGGTTTCACTTAATTTTATTCAATCATCTATAGATCACTCACTTTTTGTCCAAGAAACTTCTACTTCTTTTACTACCTTATTAATTTAAATTGATTATATTATTTTAGTCGAAGACAAATCTGATTAGATCTAACATGTTAAGTCTTTTTTAAGTGACTAGTTCAAAATAAAAGATCTTGGCCCTTTAAGAGCTTTTTAGGGCTTGAAATTACTCATTCCATGTCTGGGATCATGCTTAATAAAAAAACAAATACACCTTGAAATTGTTGGAAGAAACCTATCACCTTGGCTCTAAGCCAATTGATACTCTTTTCAACCATGCAATCAAACTAACTTCCGCAAACGACAAGCTTTGTTTTGATGCACTTGCTTACAAAAGATTAGTTGGTCAACTCTTGTATTTAACTACTCCAAGACCTTATATTCTTATTTTGTCCAACAACCTAGTGAGGACATGTCTTAGCTTATGGAATCCTATTTTCAGGTTATTACTCATGTTCTTAAATACCTCAGGTTTCCATTAAAAAAAAGTTATTTGTTTTTTCTAGCAATTCTGCTCTTAAATTTTTTGGTTTTGTAGACTCAAATTAGGCATGTTGTTTGGATTCAAGAAAGTCCATCATTGGCTAATGTGTGCTAATTGAATCCTCGCTTATATCTTAGAAATCTAAGAAGTAGAGCACTATCTCTAAGTTCTCCTTTGAGGCTGAATATAGGGTCCTTGTTAGCCATACTTGTGAACCTCAATGGTTACAGTACTTGTTGCAAGACTTTCATATCCCCCTCTCAACCTACTTCAATTTTCTATGATAGCAATTCAACCATATACTTGGTTCATAATCTCTTCATTCCGTGCACCCACGAAGCATATTAAAATAAATTATCATGTTATTTGTGAAAACATCAAGTCTAAACTAGTCTATTTATTGACACTTTCTTCTTCATCTAAACTTGTGGATGCTTTTACCAATTCTTTACCCTCTTCTTCCTTCTATTCTATCTTAATCAAGTGAGGTCTTAATGTTATATACATCATCTAACATGAGGGAGAGGCCTTAGTACCACTATATTAATGTTATTTTTTTTTCCTTTTTATGCTTTATGTTTTATGTATTCTGTTAGTTTTTTAGTACGTATGCTGATAAGTTTATATTTTGAATAGGTTTTTATAATAATTAACTTGTTATTTGTTGTAGTTAAGCATGTCTGATGATACAATAGACTCATGGACATTTTGAACCCAAACCTAAGAAAAAAAACGTCAATCTATATAAAGCACGCCCAAATCTTGAGCAACCAACACACCCATGCTAAAAGACAAAGCATAGTCGTGAATATTGGCTAGCACGTCCATATTTAAAGTTGATGCATGGTCATGCATAACCAAAGCATGACTGTGCTTGTTGTTTGTTATAACAAATTGAGGACGTTTCTTTTTAGATTTGTGTATTCAAATTTGAAATTTAAAAAGAGATTAGATCTACTAGCAAGAGATATCTATGAGAGGTAAACCTTAACTCCTGTTTAAAGGCCTCAAGGGTAACAACGAGGGGCATCCAAAATTTTACTCACACCTTTGAAAATGCTTGGAGTCATTGAGAGCGAAGGTCACTAGCAAAGATAAATAAAGCTTCTTCAGAGTCTAAGCAAGTGATCGGAAACGTGTTCGAGGGACATGAACTTTTATGATGATCTTCTTTGGGGAATCTTTCTAGTTTGTATTTTTCTTTCATGTTTATAGATTTTATTACCTTTGTTTTGGTTATTTATTTTAGGATAATTAACTAAACTCATAGTTAGGGTTATGGTAAATCCTTTACATGAATTTGTGTGACCTTTCTATTTAATAATAAATTCAATTTTCATTTGTACTTGATCTATATTCTAGTGCGCATATTTGTATATTAGGAATTGACCACTTCTAGCATGTCATAGTTATTTACACAGTAGACAATCATAATACATGTGGTTAATAGACTTATAGAATAAAACGAGACAAGAATTAGGTAGACCAAATTTAACTATTCTCTTCCAAGCGTTATTTAATTAACAAGCTCATTTAATAAATTCAATTTTCATTTGTACTTGATCTATATTCTTGTGTGCATATTTGTATGTTAAGAATTGACCACTTCTAGCATGTTGTAGTTATTTACATAGTAGGTAATCATACTACATTTGGTTAATAGACTCAGAATAAAACGAGACAAGAATTAGGTAGACCAAATTTAACTATTCTCTTCCAAGCGTTATTTAATTAACAAGCTCATAGGCACTTCATGCTTTCTTATCTTTTTGCCTTGCATGATTATTGAGAGTAATAATTTGAAGAAAAAACTATTAACATTGCATGACTATTAGATGTTAATAAAATTTGTATAGATGATTGACAATGATAAGGAAATAAGAATTAGAATTAAGTTAAAAAAAATATAAAAATGTGTAAAGTTGAACTCTTAAGCCTTAAGTTCTCTTTCAATAAGTAATCAAAAGTGTGCTTCTTTGCTGTTTTTAATTTGTTTAATTAGTTCATTTACTTTCCAACGTATCTCTTAAATTTAAATGATTAAATCACAGTTTTCTTAGTATTTAAAAATAATTATTGTAAGACGATAATTTGAAAACTTAATTTAACTGTTTTGTTAATTTTTTACGAATACACTTACCCACAAACATTTGCGAATTCTATTACAAGTTTAGCAAGTCCTTTTTTCAGCCAATTGTTATAACTACCTACAACTCAATAAATAGATTTTCTAGTGCTATATATATATTAGACTCTTCTTATAAGCAAATGATCAAAATGAGTAATGAATGATTAATTTTAGTCTCGTTTGAGTCCTCTAAAATAATTGTCTCCTCATTACCTCAATACTAAGATAATTTCTGTTAAAAAAATATTTACTATAAATTTAATTGCTTAACCTTAAGAACTGACGAGCTTTACATTTCTCATAATTTTATTACACATTTAACATATATTAAAAACTAAAACCACTATTCAAGATACAACACAATACTCTTTTTTCTTCTCTCCTCAGCATAACATGTTAGATAATTGCGATATTAAAAAAAAACAAACTACTACATCAAGTACAACAACCCTTTCGAGAAAACATAGATTCACGCTTCTTGCTCACGCTTTTCTAGTCAAGAGTATTGTAACATTGACGAATTCAGTTTTCTCCTTGGACATACGATCATCCAAGATTTTTTGGTAGCGCCTAAAAACCTCTTCAATTATAGCTTCACCAAAGTGGCTAACCAGCATAGGCTCTGCCACAGCCCTCATGCACTGTGCCATGTTGTATGCACTGTCATCAAATGATTCAGACTTTTCGAAGTCAAATTCAAAAGCATTCCAGTTAACTTCAGACAATTCCAACCGATTGATGGTGAATGATCCTTCTTTAAGAACCTCCAATTTTACTTCAAATGGGGATGGAGCATACTGAGGGATGTTAAAAGTATCCACTTGCTCTTCCTTTATCGTTCCCTGCATCATACAAGACAACGATTCATACTCATCTTGCTAAATTCCAAAAGATAAATACTGATTTTTATGCTATTATCAAATTATAGGTAGTTATGTGATTAAAAATTGTATATTTTTATAATTATTATTTACAATATTATATTTAAGATGCTTTTTTTTTAAAATTTTTTAGTAATGTAAATTTTCATATTAACCATGTATTAAAATTAAACTCTCTAAGAATTTATCTGAAATACATGGAAAAATATTTTCCGGTCTTATCAAATCATAAATTATCATGTAATTGAAAATTATTAACTGGTATAATAATTATTTCGAAAGACATTTAAAGTGAAATTTTTAACACATTATGGTTGAGTTAGTTTTTCAATTCTGTCCTTAACACTATGTAACTCAAATGTATACCTGTAGGACCATGTCATTAAGAGCCGTAGCCATAAGTTCCCAAATGGAGCAAGCCTCCTTACTGCATGGATCGATGCTGCTTCTTCCCAACATTGTTAGAACCATGCAACCTCCTTCAACTAATTCCTCCGCACGACACTTGAGAAAATCAGAGAAATCTCTTTGAAATTGTTCATAGTATGCGTTAGGGACGTTTGAGGGGCTTGTGCTGCTTATGTAAATGTTGCCCTTATTGTTATTTACACCCTTTGGAACCTATTTATCATCATAAGCAACAATTATTTTTATACTGGTTAAATGGTAAATTAAAAATACATCAAATTCAAGGGTTTGGTAAAAAAAATGTTATTTGAATCACTAAAAATTGATAATACATATGACGTTATATATTATTTTTTCTAATATTCACTTTCTGTTTTCAAGCATGTAAGAGGAATGATATTTTTTCTTGCAATTACCTTAGATAGCCACTGGAGGCTGTAAGAAGAATGCACAAAATGCAAACTTCGATCAGGAAAAACTCTGCCATAGAAAGAACCTGGGACTCCAAAGAAATAGCATGGACCAACGGCAGTTTTTATTTCACGACGTAGTTTATCTTTGTAGCTGCCAAGGGACTTAAAGATGCTATTGAAGTCATTTCCGGGAAGATCATTAAGAAAGACTTTGTATTCGGGAGATTTTTGGTTAAGTTGTCGGCAAAGCTTCTCCACAGTCTTTATTATTTCAGACACAACAAACAGGGTGTTGGGTCCTGAAGAACAACCCAAATCTGCAATTCCCAAGCTTCTTGGAAGTGTGTTGTGATAGAGGCTGGTTATTGCTTCCTCTCTGATGGATTTTGTCAAATGAAGCACCTTTTGCTGTATACGCAATGATATTAGTATGCATGATTTTAACAAAGCAGTACGTTAATTTTGGCGTGGTAATATTAATGGCGTTTTGTTTTGTCAACAACTAATGACATTTATATAGCCTTAACTTGTTAGTTTAATTCATGAGGCGTTTGAATAGGGACAGGTGGGAGATGATACAGAATGAACAGGGCAAAACAGAGTAATGGTTAATACCTGAATATAGCAATTGTTTGCATAACTTGCTTCTCCAACGCCTCCCTTCATGTGCAGCACCTTAACTACTTCCATTCTTGTCTCTTGTTTTACTCTCTCTGTTTCTATGCTTTCGATCGTGGCTCACATCCATTGTCCATATATAGATGTGAAAGCTGTAGGAAAGAAAAAAAAAACGTTTTTATATCCTTAAATTTTAACACTGTTCACGAGAATCATCTTTTGTATTTCTCTGAGCTGCGCGCTGCCATTTGTTTCCTTGTCAATATTAAAATAATAAATTTTTATAAAAAATATTTACTTTATTTAAAATATAAACAAATCAAAAAATATTTTTAGTAAAATTTATTAATTATAGTTATTTAAAATCAGTATACAGGATTTACACTAATAATAAAATTTTTTTACGTATCACTGTAACTATTAAAATAAGAGTTAGATTCATACTAAATTTAGATACTTATGTTACTTAATAATTTTTTTATAAAATATAAAATAAAATAATTTAATTACTAAATTATCTTGTATTATTTCTGAGATTATTAATATAAAATTTAATATAATTTAAATATGTATAAGCATGTTATCTAAAATTTAATATTTATTTATATTTTAAAAAATATTAAAATAAATTATTTTTTTATTTTTATAAAATTAATTAATTTAATTAATCTATAATTTTTTATTAAAAATATTTTGGATATAATTTTTAAATAATTATCATAAAAGTTAATAATTAATAATAATATTATAATCTATTATTAGATATTATTATATTAGATATTTATATATAAAAACCTATTTACAACTCAAACACTATAATTATCTTTTTAATTGAAGAGATTCTGTTCAAGCCAAATAAAACGAATGCATTTATTTGGACTTTAACTTAGAATTACAAGTTAATTTCAAATAACTTTCTATCAGTTGATCAATTTTTTTTTCTCTTCTCCTTTTTAAGATATCACACATCTTCACAATTCGTACATCTTAAAATATTTAAATATATTATTATAAAATTAATAATAAAATAACGTTAAATATTATGAACAAATATTTTAATTATTATAAGAGAAAAAATGAAACTAAAGTAATACTATAATTGAAAAAATATTATAAAACCAATACATGCATTCATATAAAATAAAATTCATATAATTTTTTTATTAAAAATATTAACATAATTTTTTCAAAATTAAAATTTTAAAATAAGTATAAAATGATATTGACAATAGTAATGAAGCAATATTATATTCATAAAAAATTAAAATAAAAAAGAACATTGTCAAAAATAAAAGAAATAACTATTATTATTGATTTTATATTTTATTTATAAAATCATAATGATAACTGAAATCATATTAAGAATTATTATTCTTATAAATATCTTTAAATTTTATTTAACATAATATAAAACTATCCTCTATCTAAAATGTTAGTATTATACTTTTTGTTATATTATTATTAATTTATTATAAATTCGTGTGATTTTATAAATATGCATACAATTCCAGAGATTCCAGAAATCTGAGCTATATATTATAAATATAAATTTAAAAATAAAAGCTAGTTAGTATAAAAAAAATTAAAAACTTAGTTAATAGTTATATCATTTTTTTACTTTTAAGTATTTTAAAAAAGATCAAATAACTAAAAAAAATTGGAACTTTGGTAGTGAGTAAATTGAGACCAGTTAAAAAATTTTAAACTTTTTAAGTGGTTAAATTTGAACATGCTAAGAAAGAGTCTAAAAGTAAACCCTTTCTCAACAGTTATTTTAATAAAAAATAAATATTTCTCAATTTTCATTAAAGTAATAAGTTAGTAGCTCATGCAATGTACAAGTATTTTATTTTAAAATAAATACATATAATATATAATAAAATTATTTAAAATATTAACTTTTATAAAAGAAATGTTTTAACTTAATTTTATAACTATAAATAGTATGCATTAAAATAAAATAATTTAATAAAATTATAAAAATTTTAAAATATAATTTCTTTTAAAATAATAGAATAATATATTCAGTACTATGACTTTAATATAAACAAAATATTTGTAGAAAATTTAAAAGTTAATATAAGATAATAAGAGAAATTTTATAAATATAAAATTAGAAATTCATAGAGAATCTGAAAAAGTATATATAAAGTAATAAGATAAAATTAAATAATATTTTTTATCTCCAAAATTTGAACAAAATTAATAAAAAAATAAAAATCATTGTAACAAGATATAATGTAATTTACATATATTTTTAAATAATTTTAATAATAAAAAAGTACACATAATAAATTATGAAATAGATTAACCTCTAGCAGAGGATTCTCATTTTTGCAAGTAGAGTATTCTCATTTATTGTATAAAGATTGATGTTAAAAAGAGTAATTTTTAGTGGTAATTTTAACAAGTCATTATGAAAATGATTTTATAACCATCACACTTAACACAAATACTCTATTCTCATTTTTTCTTTCTAAGATGCCATTTTTACTCTCACTCTTTTCAATTTCGTTCTGAGTCTTTACCTAAAAAAGGAATTCCTTGCTGTTATACGATCTTAAAACCAAAAAAACAAGCACCTTCATGTGGCACTCTTTCCTTTTACACACTGTGATTGACGTTGAAGCCATTCCACGTCAAAGGAGTCACTTGCAATCCCACGTGTTCCGTTATAAAGCACACGTTACTCAGATTCTCCTGCCTAACATTATCTATATCTAACACTTTCACACACATGTACAAGACGTACTCACAAATTTCATCAATTCAATCCGCACCAATCACAAAATAACGACTTAATTTCATAATTCAATTTTTATATTTAAAATGTAAAATTTAATTTTATCGAATTTAATCCAACAATCCAAACCAAACATATATATATAAAAGAAACCTTATGTAACTATTCGTATTTTATTTTTTAAATTATTAATATTGTATTTTATTATATTAAAATATTGTTAAATCATTGAATTATGGCAAGTTCTAGATTTTTTAAATATTTTCTAGCAATTAATAAATTATTTAATTCTTTATCAATTATATATAACCTTAACACACACCAATTAATAACTTTGCATGATTAATTAATTTGATTAGTTAAATTATTTTATAATTATACATATTAAATTTTACATAATTTAAACATTTAAAAATATGTCTAAAATATAGAGATGTTCCAAGAAAAAAACTTCAAATGATGGTATTCTTGACAACTTCTGTTAACAAGGTTTATAGACATACTATTCTTAGTACATTGTCTAATGAATTGTTTGATGTCTATTATTTCTATAAGGAAACTAACAAAATTTAGGAGTCTCTGATTCTCAAATATACTGCTGAGGATGTTGGAAGAGAGAAGTTCATTAATGAACACTATTATAAGTGGGAGATGAACAATGAAGAAGATATCAAGACTCAGATCAATGAATACTACAAACTGTTAGAAGACATGAAAGTTGAGAAGATCACACTGCCTGAGAATTTTGTCGCTAGACTACTAATTGAAAAATTACTAGAATCTTGGAAGGATTATAAGCAACAACTAAAACATAAGAATAAATTGTTGTCTCTAGCTGAACTTATCACCCACATTATCATTGAGGACACAAATAGGAAAGAACTCAAGGTTGCAAGGACAAAGGCATTGGCATCGAGGGCAAACATGATACAAGCTAATAAGAAAAGGTACAACAATAAACCTAATCAAATGTCTCATTATAATAAACCTTATGTCCTTAAAGTGAATAATCTCACTTTCAAAACTAGTAGATGAAATTGTTTTGTTTGTAGCAAAACAAGTCATCGTGTTGCTCAATGCAGACACAGAAAGAAAAGTAACAATCCTCCAAAATCAAATACAAATTTGGTTGAAGGAAATGACATAATAGTTGTGGTCATTTCTCAAGCCTTGCTAATGGCTAATGTGAGTGATTGGTGGTAGACTCTGGGGCTATCAAGCACATATGTACAAACAAAAATATGTTTACCTCCTACACTTCAGTGGGATATAGAGAAGAACAAGCGTATCTTGGTAACTCAAGGACTGTTGAAGTTCTTGAAAAAGGAAAAATTCTTTTAGAACTCACATTTGGCAAGATCCTAACTCTCAACTAAGGGCTACATGTGCCTAGTATTAGGGCAAACTTAATTTCTGTTAGTTTACTAGGGAAGGTTAGAGTCAATGTGTCTTTTGAATTTGATAAAATTGTGATGACAAAAAATAATGTATTTGTGGAAAAATGTTATTATAAATAGGGACTATTTGTACTCAATGTTGCTCATGTTATCAATGAAAAGATTTTATCTTCTGCTCTATATAGAAGAAACATGTTAAAAGTCTAATATTTATTTCTAATCAAATATACTTTGGTATATCTACTTAATATGTATATAACATATGTAATATCAGGTCTAGTGAAATTCATCAAATGCATCACACTCCCAATAATTTGTGCATATTTAGATTGAACAATTGGAATACCTCTATTTTTCTTCAACTGGGTGTTAGCATCATAAGAGCTACTCACTTGTTTGACATTAAAATGTTTAAGATTATTTATTGATGATTTTTCTAGATATACTTATAATCCTAGTAATGATCATTGGGTCGTTTTAGCTTGGTTATTAAAATATGAGATATACCATGAACTATGGTCTTACTTATAGTGGATTTCCAACTGTATTAGAAGGATATAGTGATGCTAACTGGATTTTAGATGAGATTAAATTCACTAATGATTTTGTCTTCACCTTTGGTAGTGATGCAATAACTTGGAGTTTAGGAAAACAAAAAACGTGGAATAATAAAGCACTTGCTAAAGGATGAAATTATACCCATTAATATGTGAAGTCGGAATTGAACTTGACAAATCCTTTAACCAAGCCTTTAGGAAAGAATTTAATAAATACCACATCAAGGGGAATGAGACTTAAGCTAATTTGATATCTAACATTGATAGTAACCCAACCTTATGAGTGGAGATCCCATGAAAATGTTCATAGGGTAATAACAAGTCACTTGTTAGTCTTACTAGTACATTATTTATCTTTTCCTATGATGTGAGAAATATGAGAAG